TATTTCTGTAAGATATATGTATACAGTATATATCCATTCAAGTGCAGTATACTGTATATATAAATCTACTGTGTATATATATACCTACGTTGTGTATATAGAAACTTACGGTGCTCTTTTCAGGCTCAGAACATTTGTGGCCGGAATATTGCACATTTGATGGAACAGTTGGAGCTCTATTTTATTTACCGAAATACATTCCATAACCTATTGGATGTCATTCTTCTCGTTCTCTGTATTTGATTTCTCTCTCAGTCTTTCTGTTTTGATTTATTTTAATATAGGATATAACTTAATAAAATTTTAATATGATTTAATTATGAATGGAGTCCAAAAAAGCAAGTTGTGGGGTGATTATTTTATTTATTTTTATTTTTTTTCCCCTTTCTGTTGTGAGTGTAACTAGTGGCTAAGGTGGCTGTGTTCAGAATAGAATACATAGCGTACAATATACAATAGTGAACACCGCATACTTCTTTTTTTCTGTAAATGCAACAATAAACATTTCAAATGTTAATATGCTGCATTGTTTACCAGAAACACTTAATTTAATTTAACATTTCAGAAATACTACTGATTTTTATATTTTTAATGCATACAAAATGTTTTATTTAATTTTTTTGTACAAATGCCTCAACGTTTGACTTTCAATTCAGATTAATCTACAAATATTTGCATATGCAACTGTTGTCAACAAAAATGTAAGTGTACATAAAAATGTTGTGTACAAAAAGTAGTAGTGTGCTAGTATGCTTTTCTGAGCACAGCCCAAAGCACAAACTGGTTTAAAGGGTGCTAAAACTCAAACTCATCAAAACTCTTAAAGCCTCAGCTGTGGATTGTCCTTTGATAAATATACACGTCCACAATGGTTAAGAAACATTTTCCAAAAGTTTAATCATTCTAAAAAGGTATTTACATCATCAAAGATACAAATTAAATGTGTTTTGATACACAATTGTAGCTGAGCCGGTTAAAGTGCAAAAGCCTACTGTTATTTGTAAGCAGGTTTTGGGATGTCCGAATCCCTTTGTAAAAGACCATGTTGAAAATCAAAATGCAAGGCAGTTGAATGAACATATTACTTAAAAGAAAGGAAAACATGTATACAAAGGAGATTTTTTGCTCTTTTCTAAAAACAGGTGAGTTTAAGACAGCAGCTTAACTGAAGTGAAACCTAGAAGTGACTGATGTTGCAAATGCTACATAGGCAGCAAGCATAAAATGTTGTGTATAATATAGTAGTATATAGTATATTTATAGTCAACATGTCTTGTCACAATGCAGTATGGGATTTGCTTGTATCTTTTGGAATTGCCTTAAAATGCGACTCATTATGTTATGGAACAGAGCATTAATAGTGTGTCAGAATTCATTTCAAAACTCATGAACTCTTATAATGACAAGTATTGAGGAGCATTGATCCATTGGGATGTTTTCAGAAGGCAGAGATGCTGCTTCCGTTTGTCAAATCTGCATCATTTTCAGAATATCTTTCAAACTCACGTGTGTTACTGAACTCAACCTGAAAAACAAAATTTGAAATATGTATTTGTAAATGCAAACTTTTTAAATTCCACTAACAGAATATTGGCTGAATTCTACGTATGAATTGAGTGCTTTACCTCTTTGGCTTCTTCTTTTTTGCTGTCAACAGAAGAAACGTGTTTAGAACACACCTGATGCACATTTTGTATTTGAGATCAAATTTTTTTAAAGTGTGAGTGCATCTACTCTTTGACAATATTGTGGTGTTTACCTGGAAAAGTTACAACCATTGTCAATGCTTGATCTGTTCTGTATTCCGCCAATATTGAAGCTCTCTTTGTCAGAATCTGTGTCCTTCATTTTCTTATTCCTGAGGCAGCAAAAATAATGTATTATATAAATACTTAGCAATTTTTCAGCTTGAAAAAAGTTTACCCCTAAAAAATTTGTAGTCATTTTGAAAAATGTGCAAGGAAAAATGGCCACTAATAATTTACCTAACGAGATAGACAGTTGTCAGAGCGATAATTCCCACAATGCACATAGCCAGCAGAACACTGAGAGCAATAAGTACTGCTTCGCTGGACTCTTCAGAACTGTTTCCAGAACCATCCTCCACTTTGAATTCCAAATCGGAACCAAACACCTTCTCCAGTTCCACTTTTAAAGCGTCATGATTACTCTGCAGTTTCCTGTGGGACACAATTCAGATCCCTCAAACTCGCATCTTGTAAACGGCATAGACTTGTGCAACAATGGAAACCTAGTAGGGTTTAAAAGCAAAAAAGGGAAATCTTTTATGAATATATTGCATTTCTAACATACTCTTTGACCTCCGTTGCTTCAATGACAGCACCACTGGTATCCATCGCAATGAAGCTGATGTAAGTCTTGGCTGTAGACTCTCGGAGAATGGTGCGCATCTCAATCCCATCCTTAGCTCTCACACTGAGGATTTTCACAGTCAAACCTAAAGCTTTCTTCATGGAACTGAGAAAAACACCAATGAAGCATTCAGTTTGATTTGTCAACTGCAACAAGTTTATTAAAAAGAACGATTAATTCAAGTTTGGAAAACATGCATAATATGGACTATATAATGGTGTCTTTTTTGAAGCTTGATAGTCCAATGGTCAATGTGAACTTAACAAAAAAAAACTTTCCATTTGTCTTGCAGTGAAAAGTCAGCCACATCAGGTTTGGAATGACATAAGGGTGAGTAAATAGTGACAACATGGGTGAACAATTTGGACAAACATACTTCCCTTTACTTTCTTTTCTCAAAACACAAATTGCAATGATTAAACTTCCCTTCTGTCCCCATGCAAAGTAAGCTGAGAAATGGCAATTCTCCTACTCACTCTTCAATCTCTGGTATCTTTTTCTCCACTGTGAACACGGCCTGGTTTAGAGAGATGACCACAACATTGTCACTTTCGCTGTCTTTCACTGTGATCTGTAGGTGGAAAACATGAGAGCTTGTTTTGATCTTTTGAATTTTCACAGATCTCCATCACAATGCCTTTGGTCATTTGAAAAAGTCTTGCAAAAGCTTTTCCCTGTTGTCTCTCTCTTCTCACCTGTACTGTTGCAGTTGTGGACAGTCCATGTTTATCGGTGGCTTTAACGTCTACGGGAAACAGACCGTCTCTGACACTAGATGCGTCCCGTACATAGATTTGACCAGTGTTTGCCTCTACTTCCACCAGAGATGTGGACTTCACCAGGGAATACTGCAATTCTGAGCTCTCGCCCACATCTGGGTCTGATGCCTGAGGGGCACATGACATTTCAACCACTTAGTAACCCCGAAAAATACTTGATTAACTACAATTAACAAATTCTCTAGCCTATTACTTATATACAGTTCTGTGTTCTAGGTATTTCCATTTTGCAAGGGTCTTCAAGTAAGTTACTAAAGCATTAGCAATACGGTTGCTAAGATGTTCTCTGTGGCTGCTAGGTGTTTGCTTACTGGCCCGAGTCAAAAGAGCCCACCCCTAAGTCTCTATGATATTCTAGTCTCTAGATATCCTTCCAGTGTACCTTGGCAAACGGCTAAATGAATCTGAGTACATCCATTGCATTTACAACTGATGTCTATGCCCTCTTTTGAAAAGCACCAGCCACCCCTGAGACTCACTTACCTGGACCTTCACTATAGGGAATTTGTATGGAGTGATAGTGAAAATTTCCGCCTCATATATTTCAGTCTCAAACATAGGAGCCTCATTCACGTTCTCAACCTGAATGCTGACCTGAAAGTTAAGAGAGAGAAAGTCGAATGCTAATATATCTGAGCCCTGTGCCCACTTTTTTTTTTGTTAGAGGAGAAACTTTGGTTTTAACATGTGTTGGAACATCAAGACTTGGGCCCAAAACACATTCTTCTCAAGTATGTGAACACAAGCATTTCTAGTTACACAAATTTGTCATTACATTCTTAAATTTAATTTATTCGCAATTTGCTACAAATGTTCTTTGTGCATTCTCAGTGTTGCATTAAGAGGTGCAATGTTCTTAAAGGACAACTACTCTGCAGGTTTTAGCTATCCACCATTGGTGTTTGCATACTTGTGTAGAGTTTGTTTCTGGCCTTGTTTGTAGTTGAATAGTACCGTTGTCTCTGCAGTGTTTGGAGGAGTTCTGGAGTCTATGGCCTCTACTGTGAGGATGTACCACTCCTCTTCCTCCTTGTCCAGTGGTCTGAGAGCTTTTATAATTCCCTCACCATCCACAGAGAAGACATCCTTGTGTGACTTCATGTTATAGCTGACTGTAACCAGTGGACTCCCTGTTAATGCCTTGACCTCCCCGACTATCGTGGCCTCAGGTTCGTTCTCCTTAATTACGAAGTTGTAGGAGGAGCTCTCAAAAGCCACACTCTCAGTGAGAGAGGTAATTTTGAAGTTAATCAAGACTTCAGCTACAGAGAGAAGAAAGATGTTAGTTTTGACACGTTCATCGGATTAGATTTGAATACTGAGGGGAAATGAACTTTTTATTTGCAAACGTTATTTGCATTCATTTGACTTTTACATTAAATGTTCCCTCCTGGTGGAATGACCAGCACAACTCAATCCGAGTTCTTAGCCATCTTCAAGAATTGGCTAAAAACACATCTCTTCCATCTGTATTTGACCCTCTAACTCTAGCACTCTCTATTCTAATTCTATTCTTTTTATTTATCATACAATTAACAAAAGCAAAAAGGCCTTGAACACTGGCTTTCTCTATTCTTTTTCTATTCTGTCTGTTTTCTTTTTATTTATATAATTTAAAAAAAACTTGCTACGTGTACTGCGTTAAGCTAACTGAGACTTGTTATAGCACTTGCTCTTTTGTTGATTTTGATTGCTTCCATTGTCCTCATTTGTAAGTCGCTTTGGATAAAAGCGTCTGCTAAATGACTAAATGTAAATGCATTCACAGGAATTCAAAGGAACTATGCAAACCAGAACCAAACCTTCATCAGACTGTGCTGGTGTTCCATGATCTGTCGCTATAGCAGTCAGGGTTAGCAGCATGTCTTCTGTGACCTCACTAAGGTCAGAGGTCAAAGTGATGTCTCCTGTTTCAGCGTCCAGTGCAACCATGGGAGAGTCTTCAGAGAAACTACAGAAAGACAACATTCATGCATCCATCTTAAAAAGATGTCATGTAGGTAAGTGTGTTTTTATGATTAATCCTTAAAGAGTTTAACTTTTCTAAATGGAAGCCTAGTTATAAGTATGAAAGTTGAGCTGTACCTGTAGCTAATGATTGCGTTGGATCCGGCATCTTTATCTGTGGCAGAGACTGTCAGCAGCAACTTTCCAACCTTGGCGTCTTTAACCAGAATGCTTCCGCTGTAAGTGTCAGAGCTGAGGACTGGAGAGTTGTCATTGACGTCTGTGATACTGACCCTCACTGTGGTGATGTTCTGCAGAAAATAAACACAAGCAATCCTTTGTAGTACAGACCAAAAGCCCATATTTGCAATGTCTAATATCAAATTTAAGAATTGTGATTAGTCAAATCTAGAGGTTTGAATATTGAAACAAAGTTGGATTCACAGCGCAATGTCTTAATCGATAGCAGCTTAGACTGGTTGATCATCTGTGCAACATAAAAAACTACTACCTGGAGTTTGCTTTACATGTCATTTAGAGATGGAAAAATATAAAATGTGATGTAAATTTACAGCAGAAGTAGTCAACCCTGTTCCTGGAGGGCTGCCATTCCCCAGAATTTAGCTCCAACCCTAATCAAACACACTTGAACCAGCTAATCAAGGTGCTCATGATTACTTGAAAACAACAGCCAAGTGTGTTGGAACAAGGCTGGAACTAAAGTCTAGGAAGGCAGAGGCAGATTGCTACCCCTAGTCTGTGTTGTCCAAGTTGCATGCTACTAAGTGCCTCAAACAAAACTCAAGGGAAGTGTTTCAAAGATTTGATTTTCATGAACTCTGGAAAACTAGTTTATCCTTCAAGCATGTCTTGTATCATGGCGGACAGGTAAAAATAAAATTACACGCTGACTCCTTTGTCTTTCAGAAAACCTGATGATCAGATCAAAGTTATTGTGATTTTTGTTATATTGGCAATGAGCACCAGTAGTCTGTAAACAGACTGTGGGAATGCTGTCTGAGGTTGTGACTAAGAATGTACCAGTAAGTACAATAACAAAACTGCACTGAAGTATGCCGTTAGATCATGCTAATTGTTCAAAGGAAAGGAAATTACATTTCCCTGTGGGATCCCATGATCCACAGCAACAATGACCACATCATACACATCTTGTGTCTCCCGATCCAGCTCCTCGATGGCTAGTAGAGTTCCATCCTACAGGGAAAAAGGAAATAAATATAAATAAGAATAATAAATAAGAACTGAACAACTGACAATGCACTGTCATAGGTTTAGGTCCTCACATCTTTGAAGCTGAAGATATTGCTGTAAGAGGAAGTAGTGATGGTGACACGTCCGTTTTCTTCAATGTCAGAGTCTGTGGCTGATATCACGCACACCTCTCCAGGTGATGAGGGACTGTAAACACCTTCCTGAATCTCAATGCGCTCTGGGAGAGGAAGGAATTGTGGGTTGTTATCGTTGACGTCCAGAACAGTGATGTTGACCTGAGCTGTGGAGCTTAAACCATCATCAGGCTGGTCTACAGCTATTACCTAAAGAAAACAACGCAAGCATCCCATTTAGAATTAATATTTATCCTGAACATGTTGTGAATAGTTGTTCAAGAGATGAATGTGACAGTTTTGTACCTCAATGATGTAACTGTCTATAGTTTCTCTATCCAAGGTGGCATCGCTCTTGAGTGATATTACTCCTTGATTGTCGATCGTGAAGGTATCGCTGTTCATGATAAAGAAACCTTTAGAGAACCCACCCTGATCGGAAAGGAAACAAGAAAAGGTAATTCAATCAAAACAAACTTGGAATGTTGGCTTGACAAAGCTTTACTTGGAAATTTACAAAGTGAATTTGAAAGTTGTTCAGGACTTTTGTAGTTTAAATTGTAGTTTGGAATGTTACATATGCCTTGTATACTTGCATGACTAAGCTGTTGCTAAACTTTTCTGAGTAGTTGGTAGGGAATTTTTGCTAGGGTGGCTAACGTGTTCAGGGGCACTGCTACGGTTTCTGGGCCCCCTGAACAGCATGTTGACTCGGACCCCCTCTGTAGAAATTGTGTTCCAAAGGGCATGGGTTGTGTCAGGCCCCTATCTGATCAGGGCCCTTGGAATCATCCTAACCATCCCCCTGTTACGGCACCCCTGAAGGTGTTACGGAGTTTTAAGTTGTTGCTAGAGTGTTCTGGGTGAAAGCTGAGTGTTGCTGAGAAGGTCCAAAGATGTTCTGAGTGGTTTCTATGCAGCTGCAAGAATGACGAGTCTCAGCAACCACTCAGAACACCTCTGCAACCGCTTAACAGGATGAATATAGTGTTGCTATATGGTTGCTCATGTTTTTGAGGTGATTAAATTGCTTCTAAGGTTTTCTGGGTGGTTGCTAGAGGCATTGCTAGGCAGTTACTACATAGGCTTTACGGGAGATGTTGCCAGAATACCATAAGTTTGTAAGTTTTTGTCTCCTTTTCTTACCTCATCCTCATCTGAAACCTCCAAAGATAACAGAGCAGTTCCACCTGCAAGGTTTTCATAGACGGACACATCATACTGGTCCTCCTTACTGAACACAGGAGCTTTATCGTTTGCGTCCTCAACCCACACCGTTACAGAAACACTGCCAGTGAGAACAGGGTTTCCTCCATCTCGTCCCTCCACCTCTAGAGTGTAACTCTTAGCTTTGCCATAATCCAGCTTTTCAGCTAGGTTTATGGAGCCAGACCCTTCATCAATGGTAAAGACGAGTGGTGTTGAAAAAGGCTCCTGTTTGACAATGTGATAAGTCACGATAGCATTTTCACCGTCATCTTTGTCTGTCGCCATGACGTCTATGACATTTGTTCCTACTTCTGCATGCTCGGACACTGTGGTCTCATACTGTTGTTTGGAAAATATGGGAGCATTGTCGTTGATGTCAGTCACGGAGATTTCCAGAGTGGTGGTAGCGGAATGTGATGGGCGTCCCTGATCTTGGGCAGTGATTACTAAGCTGTACTCATCTTGGGTCTCCCTGTCAAGGGGATCTGCTAGAGTTAGCACTCCTGTTTCTTGGTCAACACTGAATCTCCCAGCACCTCCCAGGAGAGTGTATCGCACTTCACCATTAAACCCTGAATCTGCATCTGTGGCTGTTACGGATGTTACTTCATCTCCCACCTTGTGATCCTCTGGTACTGGGACAGTAGCAGGGTGATTTTCAAACTCTGGACTGTTGTCATTGATGTCCAGCACCTCAACCAGGACTGATGCAACATCCCGTTTAGTACCATCCGTTATCGACACCTGCACAGTGTAGCTGCTCGTCTCCTCAAAGTCTAGTTTGGCTTTGGTCGAGAGAACACCTGTATCCTGGTTTATTGAGAACTTGTCAGCTTCACTCTCAACCGTTAAGATGACAGGAACTATAGGTTCAAGGGACAGGAAGTCAACCTGTAAATGAGAGAGTCCACATTGGTCCATGATTAGACTATTTACCTTTGTTACAGTATGTGAGAACTCAAAATTGATTAACATTTAAAGAAATGCATGCTATATTCTAAGTCTTCTGATTTTCAGCATATAATGATTCCTTCAGTCCGTTCCTCACACAAAGCTGTTGAATAACTTTAGAAGGCTTGGAATATAGTGCATAAGCCGTATGGTCCTTTTATGTCAGTAGCTGCTCCTGGAGAGCTACTGTCCTGCAGACTTCAGTTCTAACCCTGCTCCAACACACCTGCCTGTAATTATCAAGCAGCCCTGAACACCTTGATTAGGTCGGAGTTGAAATCTACAGAATGGTAGCTCTCCAGGAGCAGGGTTGGAGACTCCTGTTTTATGGTGTTCTTTTTGGAGATTGACAGTCACATGCTTTCACACTTCTTGTAAATTTCTCCTTTTTGTATTCCACAGAAAAAAAAATGCGTTTGAAACAACATGAGGGTGAGAAAGTCATGACAGGATTTTTACATTTACATGTTTTTTTGAGATATGTGACTGTACTCATAAACCCTGGATGGAGCTTTGACACAAGCTAAATTTCAAGTAGATTGGACTAATGAATTCATTTTAAAGCCTCGTTTCCACCGAGCAGTATGGTTCAGTACAGTGCAGTACGGTACGCAATTACTTCTGTTTTCATTGTCAGAAGTTGTGAATAGTACCAAAATAGCCAACTGCTACAAAGGGAATGAAATGAAGTGTCTCCTTCACTCGTTCTGCCATGCTGCTCATCCGTGTTGGGCTTGTTTACATCGGAGTGTGCAAACGCTAAAATATAACAGTATATTTTAGAATGTTATATTTTCACACACGTACACACAGACAATGTTGTACTTTCTTCTTGACGTCAGTCGTTACTTTCCAGCATAGACCACACCTATCAAGTAAAGGTACGGTTGGCGGTGGAAATGCAAGCCAGATCAGGGTGTACCATCCCGAATCATACCGTACTGTACCGTACCGTACCGTTCAGTGGAAACGAGGCTTTACAAATAATTTCATCTTTTTTCCTGTTATAGCACCACCAAGTGGCCAAGCTCTGCCATTTTTTGCATGTGTCCTCAGACTGAGCCCATACATAAGTGTACCAAGTCTGGTGAAATGATCTTTTCGTGTTTTTGTTGTTGTTGTTGTTAGTTTAGATGGTTGTAATTCAGCAGACTATTATTATCATCAAAGGCTTTTATATCATTTACAGAGACAGTGCTTTGGAAAAGAAGCTCTTATAAGGAAATCTCTGTTTGTGCTGTAAGGACCTTCACGATGTCTGCGTCTGCCTGATCCTCCTCTACTTGTCCCTGGTAGGTGTCCCGAAGGAACTGAGGATGAGACTCTCCAGGTGCCTTGACATTCACTATTGCAGAAGTTGATCTGCTTATAGCACCCCCTAATGGTATGAAAACAAAGTGCAGTGGTTTTTAAGTCAAAAGTTATGTATCCACAGCCATATATGCCGCCATCAAATGTCTGCCAAAACACCTAGATATGAAAACTTACCATCTTTTGCAGTCACATAGAGTGCAAACTCAAGGATTGTATTGTCCACCAGGTCAATTTCTTTAACTAGTTTAATCTCCCCATCATTCTCATTAATTTCAAAATGACCTTTCTCATTTCCAAACTCAATGGAGTAGCGGATTTCTCCATTTGGACCTTCATCCAGGTCTGCTGCCTCGACCTTACATGAATATGTATGTATAGTTAGTATACAACTTCTTTCCAGAGTTTATGGTATATTAGTCATCTTATAAGGACATTATGGTTCCACAATCTCTGAAAATGTACTAAAGTATTGATTGTGCTGGAAAACATTTAAATGACTCAACAAAACAATGATTCCTCACCTTGACAACCTGCATTCCAGCAGTCTGGTTGCTGAAAACTTTGCCCTCATACTTGGAAGTTGTAAACTGTGGACTGTTGTCATTCTCATCCAGCAAGACAATGGTCACATCTGCTGTTGCTTTGTCGGTAGAAGGAGGGCTTTCTTGTGCTTCAACCTTAAGATTTTGAAAACAAAATTGGTGTCACATAATTTTTCGTTGCACAGAATGCATAATCATATTTAATGATAAAATGAGCCTTATTGTTACTTGAAAACTGAAGCTAGCTGTGGTCTCTCTGTCTAGGTCCACTGAGCTTTTCACCAGAATTATTCCATCAGGGCTGATTGAAAAAGGGACAGAGTCTGGAATAATCCGGATTGTTCCCACAAATCCTCCCTGGGATGAAAGAGGTCACTTAGTAAGTTCTTTTCTCAGTTTTTATTATTTATTTGTACAAACAGACAGTGAGGTTTTCAGGAACAGTACCAGGTCTAGATCAGTGACTCTAGTCTGAAGCACAAACTGGTCCTGAGGTGAATTTTCCAGAATAGACACTGTGTACTCATCCTGCTCAAATTTTGGCGGGTTGTCATTCACGTTTTCAATGGTGACAGACACCACAGCGTTTGCCGTCTTACTGGCATCATCCTGCTGAGCTGCCTGTTTTTACAAGGAAACATTGATGAGAAAACATGAAGAATCAAAATACTGAAATCTCTTCAGATTCATAACATCATCTTTTTTAAATTAATGTCTTTAGAAACGTCTTATACCTGTATGTAAACTGTTATCTGGTCAATTTCCTCTCTGTCTAGTGCTGTTGTCACGGAGATGATTCCACTGTTTTGGTCAATATTAAGGTTGCTCTGATATTCATTTGGAAAGACTGGAACAAGAATGTGGATATGTGTGCTTTATTACCAGAAACTTAATTCAGAGTATTCAAATGTAAGTATATTATAAGTACTTGTTATTTTGTACTTGTTTGACTCTTCCCACATGAAAAAATACTATAGTAATTTATAGTAAATACTATAGTGTTTTTGAACCACTATAGTAAAGTGTATTATACTGTATATATTATAGCATTTACAACACTTTGTTAATGAATGCTACAGCATACTGTAATATTAACTATAGCGAATAATACACTGTAGTGTATTGTAGTATAATATACCCTATAGTTGTAGAAAACTTAGTATTGTATTGGGTAAAGTAATTGTTATATTACCACAGCAACTATAGAATTACCACAACAAATTAATTCAAGTACTTTACTAAAGTATGGTTCAAAAACACTATAGCATTTGCTATAAATTACTACAGTATTTCTTCATGTGGCTTGTTTGGTGGATTTTTATATCCCTCCATATTATCAGACTTAAAATGAGTCTTTTCACCTCTAGCTTTGCCACATTTATTGAGCAACTTGGAAACAGGTGGAGGAGGTTGTTTAGATTAGGACATATGTCATGTAGTGTGTTATCAGCACCTGTTGTTATGCTGTAAACGACAGGCTCGTTGATGCCTGTGTCACCATCTTGAGCTTTTATGGCCTTAGGAGTGACGTCTGACAATTGCCCTGCCTGTGCATGAACAGAAAAGAGGGTTTTATTTGTGTGGTCAGACGTGTTTTAAGCATTGATCTTCTCTTCTGACGTCGTTTACCTGATTTTCCTCAATAGATGCTTCATAGAGACTGTGATCAAAATAAGGGTTTAGGTTGTCAAAGTCTTCAACTGTTATTGTAACTGTTGTTGTGTCACTGAGTTCTCCTTTATCCTGCAAAGACACATTGTGTTGTGTTACTGCTTTATATGGAAAAAAAAAGCAGCTTGGACATTCTGCTAAACATTTTGGGTTCCATAAATGAGTTTTCATTTTTGTGTGGACTGTTTCTTCTTTAAAGAATAGACTACTAGAGAAGTACTTTGAAGTTTAGTAATCAAAGCAATATGGATGCAGGACTGGTAGGATGTGAGAAAGTTTGTCTTTACTTCAGCTTTCACAGTGAAGATGTACTGTTGAACATTGTTGTAGTTCAGACGTTGTTTCAACCTGATGTTACCGTCCTGTCTCACTTCAAAGTCATCTGGTACTGGATGCTGTTAATAGAGTGAGTGAATAATCAAAATGAGCACATGGATAAATTCAAACAGTAGAAACTGAGCTTACTAAATAAACATTATTATTTAGTTTTCTTTACTGTAACTGTATATAAACCCCCCATTAATTAGACCCATAAATAAATATTTGACAGCCCTACTGGAAATTTAACTTGGCAGAACTTACATTTAGCTACTGATACAAATAATGCAGTTTCGTGCTAATATATCACATACATTAGACTCAAACTCACCAGTATTGAATACGTAATTCGGTTGTTTTCTGGAGAGACATCGGCATCGTCAGCCCTCACCCTGTACACATCTGAACCCACAGTCGTCGTCTGGAGCAAAAGACAGGGTTTACTAAGAGATGTGAGATCTCTCAGTGACCAAACACACTACAGCTGTATAGAGACGTGACATTACACACACCTCTGACACTGTGGCGCTGTATGACTTGCTCTGGAAGATCGGAGGGTTGTCATTGACGTCCAGAACGTCTACCGTCCGGATGTTTTTTAGCTGAAATTAACAATCAAAACTTTTTAGTCAAGGTTTATGTGCTGGATATTTATTTCTATAATGCTTTGCTTTAATTATTTTATGATGTTATTGTTTAAATAAACATACCCCTCCTGAGCAGGTGACTGAATAATATAATTTCTCTCCATGCTAGAATAAATAAAACATACAAAGAGTGAAAAAAAAAAAAAATCAAATGCAATATTATCAGCTATGTCAGAATTGGTAAAGAAAGCTTAGTTAAGTCAGTAGAGACTAGCTGAGACTCTACCAACTCAATGAATCAGTGAGGCTGGAACAAACCGCCTTTAGTTCATCAGTGTCCAGTGGTTTTTTGGTCCGTCCAGTAGCGGTCGAAGTCAAAATTGCGAGAATAAAGTCGAAATATTTCGAAAATAAAGTCAAAATTACAAGAATAAAGTCAAAATATTCCGGTGGCCTGGCAACTTATTGCTCCCAATCCGGGCCATTTGCATGCGCAATATAGGCTATACTCTCAAAATATTAGGCTATAACTTTAATTCTTGTAATTTCAACTTTATTCTCGAAATATTTTGACTTTATTCTCGAAACATTTTGACTTTATTCATGTAATTTTGACTTAATTCTCAAAATATTTCGACTTAATTCTCGTAATTTCGACTTAATTCTCGTAATTTCGACTTTATTCTCGTAATTTTGACTTTATTTTCAAAATATTTTGACTTTATTCTCAGAATTTTGACTTCATTCTCAAAATATTTAGACTTTATTCTCAAAACATTTCGACTTTATTCTCGAAACATTTCGACTTTAATCTCGTAATTTTAGATTTTTTTTAGTTTTTAACATGGCACTAAAATTTAATCGCAATTTAGTGTACGTGTGGGTCTAATTATTATTATATTATTAAATATTACTTTTTTTCCATTTCAGAAATATTTAGTAAATTATTACATCACTAATGAATACCAGCAAAAAACGTGAATGAATGAACGAACAAATTAGTCAATCAATGCTCTGTTCATTTGCATGGTTTTATTGTAAAATATGTTCATTTTATTTATTAATACAATGTACTAGTATTTATTTTAATACTAGCATCTGTCTGATTTAAGCAGGCAGAATGCTCTAATCATCCGTCGCCAAAATAATGAAAATAACTGTTGTTTACACTTTGTCAAGCTTTGCATCTGGTCTTTTTACAATATGTAATATAAGTCTCAGGTGTCCCCCAGAATGTGTCTGTGAAGTTTCAACTCAAAATACCCCACGGACCATTTATTATATCATTTTGAAAATTCCTGTTTTGAGTGGAAGCAGAAACATGCTGTTTTCGTGCATGTATCTTTAAATGCAAATAAGCTGCTGTAGGGCTTTACAGCTCATTCCTCAGATACTCTGCTAAAAACATGTTTGGTTTTGATTATCAGGTCTGTTGGGCTGAAATCATGCGTTTTAAATCATATTAGTTTTTACTTTTTGCACGCACATGCACAGAAAGCGGCTGTCACATGGCATGTGAGTACTAAACGAAAAAGTTCTTTCACGTCTTATTGCGCTTAAACTGTCAAATAAACACAAGTTTATGTTAAAAACACACGAGTTACAAAAACAGTCGGTTATGTCTGTGAAGGTAAACAGATGGGAAAGAAATCACATGTTTATATTAGATGTGTGTGGCAGCACCGTAATATACAGTAAATAAATAAATAAATCCACGGCTCTCTTGTCTCCTCTGAGGCTGGGACTCTAAATAGTGTTCTGTGCTCGTCAGTGCAGCCAAAGACAGAACAGTTAGTATGCTTTGCTCAAACTTTCGCCATTCGTTAGAACTGGTACACCGGTGTCACTTGCAAAAACATAATGGCAGCGCTGTGGGTGAAAACATGCAGATTAAGGGGTTGTAATATTATAATAAGATCCCCTTTCTACGTCAGGAGCGAAATCTGACGCACTCGTTTTTTTCACAAGCTTGCAGAGAAAGGCTTACCAAAGGCTTTCACGTTTTTTGGTTTGGTAGATGCACCGAGGACCTGATTATAGCACTTAAACGCGGAAAAAGTCTGATTTTCATGATTTTCATGATATGTTTGCACAGTATGTTTCCGGCCTTAGTTTGTAGTGAGAATAATACCATTGTCTCTGCAGTCTCTGCAGTAGTTCTGGAGTCTATGGCCTCTACTGTGAGGATGTACCACTCCTCTTCCTCCTTGTCCAGTGGTCTGAGAGCTTTTATAATTCCCTCACCATCCACAGAGAAGACATCCTTGTGTGACTTCATGTTATAGCTGACTGTAACCAGTGGACTCCCTGTTAATGCCTTGACCTCCCCGACTATCGTGGCCTCAGGTTCGTTCTCCTTAATTACGAAGTTGTAGGAGGAGCTCTCAAAAGCCACACTCTCAGTGAGAGAGGTAATTTTGAAGTTAATCAAGACTTCAGCTACAGAGAGAAGAAAGATGTTAGTTTTGACACGTTCATCGGATTAGATTTGAATACTGAGGGGAAATGAACTTTTTATTTGCAAACGTTATTTGCATTCATTTGACTTTTACATTAAATGTTCCCTCCTGGTGGAATGACCAGCACAACTCAATCCGAGTTCTTAGCCATCTTCAAGAATTGGCTAAAAACACATCTCTTCCATCTGTATTTGACCCTCTAACTCTAGCACTCTCTATTCTAATTCTATTCTTTTTCAGGATTCACACTGAGGATTTTCACAGATTTTCACAAAGAACTGAGGAAAAACACACAGTGCTCAAAAGTACCAATGAACCATTCATTGTGAAAGAATCGTTTAAATTAATTTGTAAACCAGAAAGGACTATGTTTATTTAAAAGAACTGGTTCAAAAAACACTGTTTTGTTTTGTTCAAGACTTGGAAATATAGTACACACATCAATCTTCCAAACAGCCCATGCCGAGCAGGGGTATCATTTCTTTGGTATCATCTTCTTCAGTTTGAACATAGGCTTTTTTGGAATGACCACAAAGTTGTCACTTGCACTTTCTCTCACTCTGATCTGCAGGCAAGCACAAAAAAAGTTTATTTGATCATTGAATGCATTGCATTGATGGCTCTGTTTTTACGGCTTTCAATCAAAATGGCATTGAAACAACTCTGCTCACCATTACTGTTGTATTTGTGAACAGTCCGAGTTCATCAGTGGCTTTAACCTGTAAGGTGAACAGACCGTCTCCAAAACCGGATACATCCAGTACGTAGAGCTGACCAGTGTTTGCCTCTACATCCAGCAGTGGACAGTGCTCCAGTAGGGAATACTGCAATTTTGAGCTCTCGCCCACATCAGGGTCTGATGCCTGAAGGAAACACAACATTTCAACCAATTGCAAACGAACATGTTGTTATATGTTATTAATAGTCTAGTCTATTGCATTTTCATTTGGTTTAGTTATAGTTTGTTGGCTAGCAGCTTAGCTTCTTTTTGGGAGAAACATTTCAGACACCAAACTATACAGAAAATTCTGATCACTTAAAGCCCACATCTCCCAAATAAGGCATGATCTGAGGCAAGATTGATGCCAATAGCACGCATGGGAAAAGTTACATGCCAAGGTTCATTATTGCAGTTTATTACATTTATCACTTACCTGAACCTTCACTATAGGGAATTTGTATGGAGAGTTACTGGGGATTTGAGCCTCATATATTGCAGCATCAAACACAGGAGCTTCATTCACATTCACAACCTGAACACTGACCTGAAAATTAAGTGAGAGAAAGTCAATGCTAATATTTTTTAGCTTGTGTAAGTATGTGACTTTTGCATGTACAAGAGCGAGGCCAGAAACATATTCTCCTGTAAAGGTCTTTCAGGATTCAAATACAACTAAAGTACTTGCTGCGTTTACTTTGTTGCCTCATGTACAACAGGACAATGTGTTGTTCGATTATTAAAGGAGGCCTATTATGCCCCTTTTTACAATATGTAATATAAGTCTCAGGTGTCCCCCAGAATGTGTCTGTGAAGTTTCAACTCAAAATACCCCACGGACCATTTATTATATCATTTTGAAAATTCCTGTTTTGAGTGGAAGCAGAAACATGCTGTTTTCGTGCATGTATCTTTAAATGCAAATGAGCTGCTGCTCCCCGCCCCCTTTTCCAGAATAGAGTTGCGCCTTTACAGCTCATTCCTCAGATACTCTGCTAAAAACATGTTTGGTTTTGATTATCAGGTCTGTTGGGCTGAAATCATGCGTTTTAAATCATATTAGTTTTTACTTTTTGCACGCACATGCACAGAAAGCGGCTGTCACATGGCATGTGAGTACTAAACGAAAAAGTTCTTTCACGTCTTATTGCGCTTAAACTGTCAAATAAACACAAGTTTATGTTAAAAACACACGAGTTACAAAAACAGTCGGTTATGTCTGTGAAGGTAAACAGATGGGAAAGAAATCACATGTTTATATTAGATGTGTGTGGCAGCACCGTAATATACAGTAAATAAATAAATAAATCCACGGCTCTCTTGTCTCCTCTGAGGCTGGGACTCTAAATAGTGGTCTGTGCTCATCAGTGCAGCCAAAGACAGAACAGTTAGCATGCTTTCCTCGAACTTTGCAATGGAGTTACAACTGGTACACCATTGTCGCTTGCGAAAACAAAATGGTGGCGCCATGGGTGGAAACGTGCAGATTAAGGGGCGGTAATATTATAATAAGATCCCCTTTCTACATCACAGGGGGAGCGAAATCTGATGCACTCGTTTTTTTCACAAGCTTGCAGAGAAAGGCTTACCAAAGGCTTTCACGTTTTTTGGTTTGGTAGATGCACCGAGGACCTGATTATAGCACTTAAACGCGGAAAAAGTCTGATTTTCATGATATGTCACCTTTGTTTGCACAGTATGTTTCCGGCCTTAGTTTGTAGTGAGAATAATACCATTGTCTCTGCAGTGTTTGGAGGAGTTCTGGAGTCTATGGCCTCTACTGTGAGGATGTACCACTCCTCTTCCTCCTTGTCCAGTGGTCTGAGAGCTTTTATAATTCCCTCACCATCCACAGAGAAGACATCCTTGTGTGACTTCATGTTATAGCTGACTGTAACCAGTGGACTCCCTGTTAATGCCTTGACTTTGCCTACTATCGTGGCCTCAGGTTCGTTCTCCTTGATTGTAAAGTTGTAGGAGGAGCTCTCAAAAGCCAAACCGTCAGTTTTGAAATGAATCAAGACTTTGGCTATAGAGAGAAGAAAGAAGAAAGGATGAATTTATGAAGAATGAACGCTGAAAGGCAGTAACAGCTGTATTAACACTTGGCGCTCACAGACATGTTTCTGCCTTTTTTATATTTATATAAGTGGGAACAAGCTACACTCAAACCTTCATCAGACTGTGCTGGTGTTCCATGATCTGTCGCTATAGCAGTCAGGGTTAGCAGCATGTCTTCTGTGACCTCACTAAGGTCAGAGGTCAAAGTGATGTCTCCTGTTTCAGCATCCAGTGTGACCATGGAAGAGTTTTCAGAGAAACTACAGAAAGACAACATTCATGCATGTAGGTAAGTGTTTTCATGGTTTTGCCTTCATATTAATGATTCTAAAGCCACAGAATATTAGTCTTGAGCTGTACCTGTAGCTAATGATTGAGTTGGATCCGGCATCTTTATCTGTGGCAGAGACTGTCAGCAGCACCTCTCCAACCTTGGCGTCTTTAACCAGAATGCTTCTGCTGTAAGTGTCAGAGCTGAAGACTGGAGCATTGTCATTGACGTCTGTGATACTGACCCTCACTGTGGTGATGTTCTGCAGAAAATAAACACAAGCTATCCTTTTGTAGTACAGACCAAAAGCCCTTAATTGCAATGTTGTCTAATTTGCTTGCTACCAAGTGCTTCAAACAAAACATGGAAAATCTTTCAAACTTTCTAATACATGAAGCTCTGGCAAATCAAACAACTAGTTCTTCCTTAGAATCACTTGTACAAACATAGATTTGTATGCTGCCAGACAGATAAACCTGTTACTCCCAGACTGTTGCGTAAAGCTTGCCAATAAGATGCTTGCATTATGAGAAGTTTTTGCATTATTTTTAATATGCAAAAGCCAATCTGTGAACAGTCTGTGGGAACGCCGTCTGTTGTGGAGACTAAGTTTGTTCCAGTCAATACAATTACAAAACTGTAAAGTACATATAGTCACACCATGCAATCATGCAAATAAGTGGAAATTAATACATTTCTTGGTGGGATTGCATGATCCATTGCAACAATGACCACATCATACACGTCCTGTGTCTCCCGATCCAGCGCCTCGATAGCTAGTAGAGTCCCATCCTACAAGAAAAGGAAATATTTTGGTACAAGCGGAGAAAGATCTGGACACTGACATTACAATGTCTATAAAAATATGATATAATGTAGATAGGCACTCTAAGAATCAGTGACAGCTCTCGTAAGTCCTCTCACCTCTCTGAAGCTGAATAGTCCACTGTGTGAGTAAGTAGTGATGGCGACACGTCCGTTTTCTCCAATGTCAGAGTCTGTGGCTGATATCACGCACACCTCTCCAGGTGATGAGGGAGTGTAAACACCTTCCTGAATCTCAATGCGCTCTGGGAGAGGAAGGAATTGTGGGTTGTTATCGTTGACGTCCAGAACGGTGATGTTGACCTGAGCTGTGGAGCTTAAACCATCATCAGGCTGGTCTACAGCTATTACCTAAAGAAAACAATGCAAGCATCCCATTTAGAATGAATAGACAATCCTGAACATGTTGTGAATAGTTGTGTTCAAGAGATGAATATGATGTCTGCATTGTACCTGTATAATGTAATTGCCTATAGTTTCTCTATCCAAGGTGGCATCGCTCTTGAGTGATATTACTCCTTGACTGTTGATAACGAAGGTATCACTGTCCATGATAAAGTGACCTTTAGAGAACCCACCCTGATCGGAAAGAAACAAGAAAAGGTAAGTGCATCAAAACAACAATTCTGGCTTGGCAAAGGCTTACTTGGTTGGAAGTTTGAGGATTATTTACAGTGTAGATCTTTGTATACTTATAACCTAGACATTTCATGTCAGTTTTGATGAGATTCGTCCTTTTAGTGTTTGTGGGTGTGTATTTTTGGTCACACTTTAGTTTGGGGACCCGTTCTCACAATTAACTAACTATTAACTATGGAGGATTAAGGGATCTAAAATCTGGTCATGCAGAACAAGGCATTAATATGTGCTTTATAAGTACTAATAAACAGCCGAAATGCTAGTAATATGCATGCTAATAAGAATTGGTCCTTAAAATAAAGTGTTACTTTTTTATTATTTACTTGTACAAACAGACAGCAAGGTTTTCAGGAACAGTACCAGGTCTAGATCAGTGACTCTAGTCTGAAGCACAAACTGGTCCTGAGGTGAATTTTCCAGAATAGACACTGTGTACTCATCCTGCTCAAATTTTGGCGGGTTGTCATTCACGTCTTCAATGGTGACAGACACCACAGCGTTTGTCGTCTTACTGGCATCATCCTGCTGAGCTGCCTGTTTTTACAAGGAAACATTGATGAGAAAACATGAAGAATCAAAATACTGAAATCTCTTCAGATTCATAACATCATCTTTTTAAATGAATGTCTTTAGAAATGTCTTATACCTGTATGTAAACCGTTATCTGGTCAATTTCCTCTCTGTCTAGTGCTGTTGTCACGGAGATGAGTCCACTGTTTCGGTCAATTTCAAAGTTGCCCTGATAATCATTTGGAAGGACTGGAATGGAAAGATGGATATATGTGCTTTGTTATTATCAGAAATGTAACTCAGATCATTTCATTATTTAGATCAGTTTAAGAAACATTGTTTATTGATTAGATTAGGGCGCAGGTCATGTATGTGCATTGTAATTCTGTTAATGGCACCTGCTGTTATACTGTAAACGACAGGCTCGTTGATGCCCGTGTCGCCATCTTGAGCTTTTATTTCCTCAGGAGTGAAGTCTGACAATTGTCCTGCCTAGGCACAGACAAAAAAAGACATAAAGGGTTTTATTTGTTCGGTCAGACATGGATTTAAAGCTTTAATCGTTCTGAAATGTCGTTTACCTGATTTTCCTCAATGGATGCTTCATAGAGACTGTGATCAAAATAAGGGTTTAGGTTGTCAAAATCTTCTACCGTTACTGTAACAGTTGCTGTGTCACTGAGTTCTCCTTTATCCTGCAAGAAATCAAACTCACTTAAAAATAACCCCACTAGTAACCCAACTATTGCTAACTGTGGTTTATTTTAACCTAATGAAACAATCTCATCTCAGTCAGTTGGGTTGAAAGTTACCCAACCACTGAATTTACTATTATTATAATTTTTATGACATTAAAATTGATTTTGTACTTTGTTTTCAAATACCAAATCTTTATTTGATATAATAACAATAGGAAAAATGTTTTAAAATGTTTTAAAATATAAAATATACAGATTTGTATAAAATACAAGAGAGAGAAAATTCAAAAACAAATACACATATCAATATCTATCTATCTATATGCTAATGGTTTATAGTTATTAATTTTAGGAAGCTGGGAAAGTGTATTCATTTACATCTCATTCTCTGGAGTTCAGGACATTATGCAATAAAACTGTCAAGGAATCTTAACTTCATTTTAAAATGACAAAGATACAGTTTTTGGGATATATTTAACATTTAGTAAGTAATAATTAATAAGAGATATATAAATAATAAACTTTACCTATCATAATTAAGCTGCTGTCTCTTTACTGGACTGTATAAATTTTAACTGTCACTGCAGAAGCTATGCTTTATTTTAACTTGCTGGATTGCTACTAAAATAACCCAACAATCTAAAAAAAAAAAAACCCAGTAATTAAAATAATAAGAATTTTTAAAAATAACCCAACATAGTGATCCAATATGTGCAACCCAACATTTTTTCTATGTAGTGTTGAATTACTATCAACCTTAAAATGATAGTTCTCAGTCCAAAAATCATAATCCTGTCATCACCAATGCCTTTCCTGATCCTCACACTTTTACTGTATGGAAAAAGCAGCTTGGACATTCTGCTAAACGTCTCTTTTTGTGAGTATATGATGACAGAACTATGCTTTGAATGATAGACGAGCAATATTTTGAAATTTACTGATCATAATGATGTGGATGCAGGACTGGTAGGATGTGAGAAAGTTTGTCTTTACTTCAGCTTTCACAGTGAAGATGTACTGTTGAACATTGTTGTAGTTCAGACGTTGTTTCAACCTGATGTTACCGTCCTGTCTCACTTCAAAGTCATCTGGTACTGGATGCTGTTAATAGAGTGGAAGTGATCAATTAAAATGAGAATATGGATAAGTTTATGGACACAAGCTGAGCTTACATAGCTGTTGCACAATGCAGCCTATTGTATATATCAAATTCATGAGAATTGTTCATGACCCACCAGTATTGAATACGTAATTCTGTTGTTTTCTGGAGAGACATCGGCATCGTCAGCCCTCACCCTGAGCACATCTGAACCCACAGTCGTCGTCTGGAGCAAAAGACAGGGTTTACTAAGAGATGTGAGATCTCTCAGTGACCAAACACACTACAGCTGTATAGAGACGTGACATTACACACACCTCTGACACTGTGGCGCTGTATGACTTGCTCTGGAAGATCGGAGGGTTGTCATTGACGTCCAGAACGTCTACCGTCCGGATGTTTTTTAGCTGAAATTAACAATCAAAACTTTTTAGTTAAGGTTTATGTGCTGGATATTTATTTCTATAATGCTTTGCCTTAATTATTTCATGATGTTATTGTTTAAACAAACATACCCCTCCTGAGCAGGTGACTGAATAATATAATTTCTCTCCATGCTAGAATAAATAAAACATACAAAGAGTGAAAAAAAAAAAAAATCAAATGCAATATTATCAGCTATGTCAGAATTGGTAAAGAAAGCTTAGTTAAGTCAGTAGAGACTAGCTGAGACTCTACCAACTCAATGAATCAGTGAGGCTGGAACAAACCGCCTTTAGTTCATCAGTGTCCAGTGGTTTTTTGGTCCGTCCAGTAGCGGTCGTAGCTGAGACTCTACCAACTCAATGAATCAGTGAGGCTGGAACAAACCTCCTTTAGTTCATCAGCGTCCAGTGGTTTTTTGGTCCGTACAGTAGCGGTCGAATCTCCATCAGAATAAATCAGCTCCAGAAATTCCAAACCAATAGGAAAGAGATATGCCTCCAGAAGCAGACGATCATTAGGTCCGATATTAGTGAGAATCTCTACATCACCTTAGGCCAGGTTAAATACACATTTAAATGCATATTCTAACACACAATCTAAAACATAAATACTAGATAATATCAGTGTTGTTCTTATTGTTTTTTACTTGCAAATAGTAGCGTGGACTAATAGTATTCAGTTAAGTCATGTGGGCATATCTCACCTTCATATCCCTCCAGGACGCTCCCTACATTAATATTAGTTCCAGTTGCACAGTTTATCTGCGAGGAACCTTAAACAGTAACAAGTCATTGGTTTAAGAATTTAACAAACAGCTAAAGTCCTGAACTCAGTAGCACAAAATACACTAAATCATACAGTGTATTGATTTAACAACGAATATTAATTGGTGAAAACTCCAGTGTCCAAACTCATGTAATTTAATCTTAAATCACTCCACTTATATTAGTAAGCAAAATTGTTTCCTATTAAATTCTGACAGGCATATTAATTCATTAGAAGAGCTTTGTCCTTTAAAACACATGCTTTTAAACAACAGACAATCGATAGAATTAAATGGAACTACTAAAAGGTTAGGCATCACATCCAAATGTTTGAATTTAATATAGTTACTTCAGCTGGTTGTGGATAAATTTGACTTACCGATAGCACTCCTTACACTGTGGACATGCAGACAGGCTAAAATAATTAAAATAGAGAATAAGACCATTTTTCCACAATTCACAGTCAGTGCAGCTTGTTTTAAGAAGCCTGGTAGTGAAGAGAATGACTGTTTGTTGTGTAATATTGGCCTCTGAGCTGTTTATTAATTGTATGCCATAAACAGTTATGGCCTCAAATAAAGATGTGTAAGCTGGTATCAAAGGTGCTTCATAGAGGCCAATTATTCAGGATTATTGAATAATTCTGTATTATTCAGACAGCATATAGGACGGGATGTAGCCAAAAAAAAAAAAAAAATCATGTTACAAGTTTATTTGAGGATATCTGACATTTTGAACCTAGACTTTGTTATTGGCCTTTACTTGATCTTGTTCCACCATTTCTACTCATTCAATTGTTTCAGTCATCTGGGTCTATCCATCTTATTTTGGAAGTAAGCTTTTTTCTGTGAATGTGTAATACTTCTGATAGATTAGTTGCTAATGAGTAAATAACTAGAACAGCAAGATAACCTAAAGTTTTGTGTACCTAAAATAACCGTAAGCGGATGACACCAAAATCCCATATTTAAGTTATAAATCTAAAGACTTTTATGCTGGACTTTGGCCTGCAATTGAACATGCTGTACAGGCTAAACAGATATGTGACAACGATCAATTCACACCATGCACTGCTGTGTTAGAAGACCTGGCTTTTTACTCAAGTGTTGCTAAGATCACATTACAAAATGGTTTCCAATTAGATTATATACATTTAACTGTTGATTAGGTGATCAGTGATTAGGTTGTTAAAATCGAATCTCTCAAAAATCATTGTTTTAAGATATTTTTCCATATTTTATTATGTGGATGTTTTACTAGTGATGGAAATCTTTTGTTTTGAGTCAGTGCTTTATTTGTACATTTGGCTTGATATCTTGATAAGTCTTTTGGAACATGTTAAACGAAAATTCTAAGAAATATAAATAATGGTGGAATGAGCCAAAAGTACAGGTGCAGCTGCAGGTGGAGGCAATTCAAGCATATATAAGTCTGATGGGTCACAGTACAGAAGAAGACTGAGGAACATTTGAAGACTCATTCATCTGTATCTCCAACAACAGAATGGTAAGACTCATTTTAATATGGTTCTTGTCTCTGCATGATTGCAGGGTTGTCACGAAATGATAAATGTCTGATAAATTGATAGTCTTATCTATTTCATAATCTATATGCAGATATTTTTTGCATTTTAGAGCTAAAATAATAAACTATTTTTTATTTCATCATTCCACTTGCTATACAGTCATATTAACAAGTTGAATTCTCAGTAAATATAAGATTTTTTGCAAGTTACATACCGACTTAAATATAAATGTACTTAAGCAAAAAAGTGTGAAGCCTAACAAAATAATCATATTTATCTCTGCATTCACTTTCCTGTGTGTTTAATCTCCAGATTTCAGAGCAGAGAGAGATGAAGAAAATTCTCTCAATGAAGATGTTGCTTCTGGTTCTGCTGGGATCCAGTGTGACTGAGGGATGGTTTATGAGTAAATGTGAGCTGAAGGCCAAGCTGGAGGCTGCACGGTTTCAGGACATTAAGGTCTTGGGAGAAGAATTGATCTTGACGCTAGACGTGAGTAATAGAGTTACTTTTCCTTCAGATTGTTCAGGAGGCTATATTTCCATGTCACATGGTATGCAGCTATGAGGTTCATTACCTTCATCCATATGCGTTTTTCTTTTTGAGGCAGTTGTCTGCAAGGCCAAAGGCTCTGACTTCAACTTCAACTTCATTAAAACCATCAGCGCCTCCCATGTAGAGGTAAATTCCGGTGAAGAGGACAATCCCGATGACACCCCACCTCAGTCATCCACCTCCACCTTAAGGCCTACATCAAGTTTCACTTCCAGGGCCACAAGCTCCACCTCAAGCACCACCTCAAAGCCTACATCAAGTCCCACCACAAGACCCACCACAAGCTCCACCACAAGACCAACCAGAGATTCCTCCACAAGACCAACAATAGGCTCCACCACAAGACCAACAATAGGCTCCACCACAAGACCCACCACAGGCTCCACCACAAGACCCACCACAGGCTCCACCACAGACTCCACCTCAAGCTCTACCACAAGCTCCACTTCAACCACCACCACAGACTCCAATATTTGCAACATGAAATGCACTGGTAAGTTTGCAGGGAAACATGTCAAACATCACAAATAAGAGTTATACCTGAATGTTGTCACTCTTTAGAACTATGAATCAAAGAAAACAATTACATTTGATCTTTTAACCTTTTTTAACCAAAGCTTTAATTGATGATGATATCACAAATGACATTGCTTGCCTGAAGACCCTGATGAACAGCAGGTAAGTACACATCAGCAAACAAACAGCTCAATCAAACATTCATTTACATAACACTGTGTTACTTATTTTAACTATTAAGTGTATTTGAAATATAAATTCAAAACAAAAAATAATTTGATTTAGTATATTAACAGACAAATGTGTTTAAAACTCAAATGATTAGAAAATTAAAGAAATCTGAATCTGTAAGGAAATTTTGGTAATGCTTTATTTTAAGGTGTCCTTGTTACACGTTACATGTACTTATTGTTATAATAACAATTAATTATGCATAATTACATGCAAGTAACCCTAAGCCAAACCCTAATTCTAACCCTAACCACCCCACCACAGACTCCACCACAAGCTCCACTTCAACCCTCACCACAGACTCCACCACAAGCTCCACTTCAACCACCACCACAGACTCCACCACAAGACCCACCGCAAGACCTGCCACAAGTGCTACCATAAGTCTCACTAGAGTTTCCACCTCAGGATCTACCACAAGCACCGCCACAGACTCCACCTCAAACTCTACCACAAGCTCCACTTCAACCTCCACCACAGACACCACCACAAGACCCACCGCAAGACCTGCCACAAGTGCTACCATAAGTCTCACTAGAGTTTCCACCTCAGGATCTACCACAAGCACCGCCACAGACTCCACCTCAAACTCTACCACAAGCTCCACTTCAACCTCCACCACAGACACCACCACAAGACCCACCGCAAGACCTGCCACAAGTGCTACCATAAGTCTCACTAGAGTTTCCACCTCAGGATCTACCACAAGCACCGCCACAGACTCCACCTCAAACTCTACCACAAGCTCCACTTCAACCACCACCACAGACTCCACCACAAGCTCCACTGCAACCTCCACCACAAGACCTGCCACAAGCACCGCCACAGACTCCACCTCAAGCTCTACCACAAGCTCCACTTCAACCACCACCACAGACTTTACCACAAGACCCACCGCAAGACCTGCCACAAGTGCTACCATAAGTCTCACTAGAGTTTCCACCTCAGGATCTACCACAAGCACCGCCACAGACTCCACCTCAAGCTCTACCACAAGCTCCACTCCAACCACCACCACAGACTCCAATATTTGCAACATGAAATGCACTGGTAAGTTTGCAGGGAAACATGTCAAACATCACAAATAAGAGTTATACCTGAATGTTGTCACTCTTTAGAACTATGAATCAAAGAAAACAATTACATTTGATCTTTTAACCTTTTTTAACCAAAGCTTTAATTGATGATGATATCACAAATGACATTGCTTGCCTGAAGACCCTGATGAACAGCAGGTAAGTACACATCAGCAAACAAACAGCTCAATCAAACATTCATTTACATAACACTGTGTTACTTATTTTAACTATTAAGTGTATTTGAAATATAAATTCAAAACAAAAAATAATTTGATTTAGTATATTAACAGACAAATGTGTTTAAAACTCAAATGATTAGAAAATTAAAGAAATCTGAATCTGTAAGGAAATTTTGGTAATGCTTTATTTTAAGGTGTCCTTGTTACACGTTACATGTACTTATTGTTATAATAACAATTAATTATGCATAATTACATGCAAGTAACCCTAAGCCAAACCCTAATTCTAACCCTAACCATATAGTAAGTACATGTAGCTATATTACTCAGTACTTAAATGTATAATGTATACACTGGAACAGGTACACCTTAAAATAAAGTGTAACCACATTTTTTTAATCAAGTAATTACATACATGACTCTTAATGACTTCTTTTGTAACAGGCCACCTAAACCTCAAGTGAACCCCCCTTATTTGAAGAAGATGTAAGCTGAAAATATGTTTATGACATTATAATTTTACTAATCATGTCAATACACGCTAAATACAATGCAAAACATGTAAATAAAAATAAGTACATATTATAGTGCATTTTATGGAACAAATAGTATTTCTGGGGTTGCTTGCTTGTTTAGGAAGCTGTTTGTTAATGGTGTCAATTAATTACTATCAAAAACAGCAATGCATAACAACCGTGTTCAAATCCTTTCTTGTAACATGCAAAGGTTTTAGTTAAGTGAACTGTTACATATAACTACTTTTACATATAATACTTGTTATAATCGTTTTTAATTCGTTAAAGCTGTCAAGGGGTTCTTTTATTATTAGCTATTATTTCCGAATACTACTACTACTACTACTACTACTACTACTACTACTACTACTACTACTACTACTACTACTACTACTACTACTACTACTACTACTACTACTACTACTACTACTACTACTACTACTACTACAACAACTAATAGCGACAATAATAATAATAATTTAGAAAATTAATTTGTATGAAATGTTTATATTAAATTGGAAAGTACCGGAAGTGAACGAGCAGTAAAGGAAGACGCAGATCACATGACCCCTGTCAACATCCAGCATGGCTGTTAACAGACAAATGTGTTTAAAACTCAAATGATTAGAAAATTAAAGAAATCTGAATCTGTAAGGAAATTTTGGTAATGCTTTATTTTAAGGTGTCCTTGTTACACGTTACATGTACTTATTGTTATAATAACAATTAATTATGCATAATTACATGCAAGTAACCCTAAGCCAAACCCTAATTCTAACCCTAACCATATAGTAAGTACATGTAGCTATATTACTCAGTACTTAAATGTATAATGTATACACTGGAACAGGTACACCTTAAAATAAAGTGTAACCACATTTTTTTAATCAAGTAATTACATACATGACTCTTAATGACTTCTTTTGTAACAGGCCACCTAAACCTCAAGTGAACCCCCCTTATTTGAAGAAGATGTAAGCTGAAAATATGTTTATGACATTATAATTTTACTAATCATGTCAATACACGCTAAATACAATGCAAAACATGTAAATAAAAATAAGTACATATTATAGTGCATTTTATGGAACAAATAGTATTTCTGGGGTTGCTTGCTTGTTTAGGAAGCTGTTTGTTAATGGTGTCAATTAATTACTATCAAAAACAGCAATGCATAACAACCGTGTTCAAATCCTTTCTTGTAACATGCAAAGGTTTTAGTTAAGTGAACTGTTACATATAACTACTTTTACATATAATACTTGTTATAATCGTTTTTAATTCGTTAAAGCTGTCAAGGGGTTCTTTTATTATTAGCTATTATTTCCGAATACTACTACTACTACTACTACTACTACTACTACTACTACTACTACTACTACTACTACTACTACTACTACTACTACTACTACTACTACTACTACTACTACTACTACTACTACTACTACTACTACTACTACTACTACTACTACTACTACAACAACTAATAGCGACAATAATAATAATAATTTAGAAAATTAATTTGTATGAAATGTTTATATTAAATTGGAAAGTACCGGAAGTGAACGAGCAGTAAAGGAAGACGCAGATCACATGACCCCTGTCAACATCCAGCATGGCTGACGCGGACAGCCAGAGATGTGTGAGCGCCTTATTGAACGGAATCACGCAGAGACTTTATTACGGTAATACCGAAATCACGGAGGAGTTTCTGAAGAATGAGCTGTACGCGGAGATGACGCAGGGCGAGTTCCGCGAGCTGCATGACAAGATGAGGTCGCTTCTGAAGGTGCTTCTCCTCTACAGCAGTTTCTGACAGCAGAGACGACCAGCGCTGTTTCTGCAGTGAAACACACGCAAACCTTTCATAGCGAGATTTCACTGTTTAGCAAACTAACTGCACTGTTCTCTGTCTGCCGCTAGAGAGCAGCATATCACTAAATGCCGATATCATGAAGATTCATTCGGGTGATAACAATGTAGTCGTTTACTACTTTGCAGAATGTCTATCATTATAAAATGTATCCTATATTTTATTTTATATCGTATGATTTTTTTTTATTAAATGCTAAATACACAACAAAATAAAATCAAAATAGACAACACCATACGAATACAAGTGGTTTACAAAAAAAAAAAAATATATATATATATATATATATGTATATAAGATACCATTTTCAAGATTTACTTTCCAATTAGCTTCAGCCTTTAGCAAATAGAATTATTTGTATACATTTGTTTATTATCAATACATTTAATCAATAACCATGAATACAATAAACAGTCAATAAACGTAAAGAATTAAGCCATAAATTACTCCTTTTGCTTTTATGTATGTGGAATTTACCAAGTAAAATCATGACATTCACCATCAAATTAAGAGATGTCTTTTTATTATTCAAAAACATCTTTGCAATACTTTATTTTTACAATATTTTACAATACAATATTTTTATACTCTTTTATTAAAGTACAACAGTACAGTGTTATTTTAGTATCGAAATGCTATTTTATTAATATTTTGAATTTTTATTTTGTATATTTTCTTTTTTTATTGTAATTTTATTTTTTTTTTATTTGTTGTGTGTTTGTCATTTTTATTTACATAATATTTGATTTATTAATACTTAAAAAAAATATATTTTTACATTTTCATTGTAATTTTCATTGTAATATTAGTTTTAGTAATTTTTTTGTGCGTTTTTGTCATTTTTGTTTAAAAATATTTTATAAAAAAATATATAATTTTTAATCATTTTATTTCAGTTTTAATTTTACTTATTTTAATGCATAAAGTTAAACTAAATAAAAATGAGAAATATTGTCTTGGCATTAGTTAAAACAAATAAATGCATTTTTTTAAGTTATATTATTTCAGTTAAAGTTTATTTTATTTGAAGTATTGGAAGTTGTTAATTGTTTTGGTAGTAGTTGACTATAATAACCCTGCTACAGGGTAGAGTTTGTAGAGTTTGTGCTGTCTCCCTCCACCCTTGACCTCATGTTTCTGTCTCTCCGTCAGTCCATCGCTTCAGCAGACATGGATCAGGCACAGCTGGAAGCGTTCCTCACGGCGCAGACGCGTAAGCAGGGCAGCAGCGGCGTGACCCCGGAGCAGGCGGCTGCTCTGGCGCGCTTCTGGAAGGCCCACCGGACGTGGGTACGAGAGAGTCTGCTGGCTCAGAGTTGCTGGGAGCCCGGCCTCCGGGGCCTGAAGTGGAGGGTGGACCTGCACACATCTGCCAGCAGGGGGCAGGTGTCCAACAGCCCCGTGGCCCTGGTGGAGCTAGAGCTCGGCCGCGCCGGAGAGGTGAGAACTGAACGGGAGAAATGAGGGTTCAATTCTTTGAAACGTAAGAGTGGATCTTCATATGAAGCACAAAAGAGATTTTTTTTTCACTGTTCAGCTCTTGTGCTTGACTTTTGCATGTCTTTGCCTGCTGAAATCAGGGAAGTGTGTGCGCCCGAGAGTTTTGATGAGGATTTCTTTACACAGTCTCATGGGAAATGTAGGTACTCTGACTGGATACAAAGTGTATAATTGCACACACTGTTAAAGTGGAGAGCGCTCGAGACGAAATATTGAGAGTAATTATTTAAAAGAAAACTGAAACTGAAGACCATTAAGAAAAAAAAACATTTTCATTCTTAACTGAAAGAAAATATTAAAAAAAGAAAAAAAGTTTAACTTGATGTACGAAAAAACTAAAACTAAATTAAAATTATTACAACTATATAGACACAAAATACTAACTAAAATTAAAACAGAATTTCTAAAAATTAAAAGTAATTTAAAATACTAATAAAACTGTACTAGTGTCTAGATGCTAAAATAACACTAGAAATGTTTTATTAGATTGTTTTTCATGATATTTTAGCAAATAGTCAATATCAAAAGCATTAAATATCATTCATGCAAACTCTTGTATCTCATACAGTCAGAGTCCAAAACGATTTCTTAGCAGTTGTGAATTTGCTTAAAACTTTATTCTCGATGATTGACAGAGGTTTTGAATAATCTTCTGCACACCTGCCAGAGAAGTGTTGCAAGGATACTAGATATTCAGTATAATGCAAACTGGTCTCTTGTGTGGAAACAATGCAAATTGCAGGTGAAATGAGAAATATTTCTGCCAAAAAGATCAAAGTCAAATTGTTTTTAGCATAATTGTTATTAAGATTATAGCATGGTATAGTTAAATTCTTCTTTGAAGACAGATGTTCAGAGGTTTTGAATATTCTTCTGTAACTGTGACGTAGCTTTGCTTTCAGTTTAGTTTACAAAAACTACATTGGAAATTAATGGAAGGCATAAATGAATAATTATGGAAAGCTATAACTGCAGTGTAAGTGGAAAAACAAACTCTGAAAATGTATTCACCTCCTCCTTAGGGTTTAATTATATATAATGAATTTACATTTACATTTAGTCATTTAGCAGACGCTTTTATCCAAAGCGACTTACAAATGAGGACAATAAAAGCAGTCAAAAACTAACAAAAGAGTAGAATAGAAAAAATAGAAAGCTAGTCTTTGTTTTTTTTTGTTTTTTTTTAAATAAAGATAAAAAAATAAAAAAAAAACGATAAATATAAAGTAGAATTAAAATAGAATAGAAAGTGTTAGAGT